GTGACCACCACACGCTGTATGGTAGGTTTTGGGAGTGACCACCACACGCTGTACGGTAGGTTTTGGGAGTGACCACCACACGCTGTATGGTAGGTTTTGGGAGTGACCACCACACGCTGTACGGTAGGTTTTGGGAGTGACCACCACACTTTGTACGGTAGGTTGTGGGAGTGACCACCACACGCTGTACGGTAGGTTGTGGGAGTGACCACCACACTCTGTACGGTAGGTTGTGGGAGTGACCACCACACGCTGTACGGTAGGTTGTGGGAGTGACCACCAAACGCTGTACGGTAGGTTGTGGGAGTGACCACCACACATGGTAGGTTGCGGGAGTGACCACCACACACTTATTATGGCTCAGTCTTAACTCGAGATTAAGTCAGAAGAAAAAGAAAATTTGAAATTGTTATCAGTTTAACTTCTTTTTATGCAGTAACTGTGTAATAGAAGAATTATGGTAATATGTATACACTAGATGAGATGAAAAGTAAGCAATGAATGTTTAAAAATGTCAGAATTAGTTTAGCTTTGTCGAGCCACGGTGTTTTTAACCAGTTAAAGAAATGTATTTTTTGTCCAAGCTGTTAAAGTATTTAATATAGTTATACATTTTATGTAGAAATTCTGCTACTCTTTAAGCAAGTAGTATATATATATATATATATTGGCCTCAAGCCAAATCTTAAAGGTAATGTACAGTACATTAGTTAAAGGATTAAGTTAAAGGGGTCCAATATAAAGCATTTAGCTTACCTTTCAGTAGACTTCCTTCTATTGACAGAGGTATGAAAACGTCTTTAAGTAGTTAACATGATTTCTCAACTAAAACCGACAATGAATTAAAATGTGATGTTATTGTTTTGTTTGATCTGAAATCGTTTCTGGAATTTACCAGTCACGAATAGAACTACGACGTGGCTTAGTGTCACGAAAATGAACAAATAATCTAAATTAGTGTTTCCGATTATTCCAGCAGTCCAAGTGATTAAAACATTGCAATTATGATTCCTTATTAGTTCACCTTAAACTATTAGTGTCACAACTTATCAAAATTAATGTTTACACTTATTACTATTTTGAATTATTCCATCTGTTCAAATCTCAGGAGAGTGATCATTTAGCTGAATTTAATTGATAAGTGAACCTGACGGTTAATTGGTTATCGAGTTACATTAATGACCCAGCTCTTGTCGTGAATGATAGAATAAAAATTGGCTCAAATTGTTTTTTTTTAAGTCTGAATTATAGGTTGGCAACTTGTGTGTTTTACAGGCTTATCATCAAAAAGCATCTAGTGTGTCGCAGAGATCTGGATGCGTTTGTGAAATCTGTCAGCGACACTTCTCTGACAGACGGTTTTTAAAGATTCACAAAGATACAATTCACAACAAGATCCGACCTTTCCTCTGTACCTTTTGTGGATATTCAGCTTCTTCGCGGGGCACCTTGAAAATGCACATTCGACAGCATACAGGAGAAAAACCCTTTGCCTGTGATGTTTGTGTTTATCGTACTAGTGACCATAATTCTCTTCGTCGGCACAAAATGCAACATTCGGGAGAAAGACCTTACAAATGTCCTTATTGTTCGTATGCAAGCATTCAGGTAAAATGTTTCTTTATATGTTATTTTAGGTCTTTCAAAAGCCCTTAGTTAGTTCATATTCCAGTTTTTTCTAAGTTTGTTTTATTAAAGATTTTTTACATGTTACTTTTGTTTCATTATTGCTCCTTTTAGCCAACAAGCAGTAAACTAGAAGCAATGCTGGAAATAAATATCTTATTTCTGCCTACTGCTAATCTTGTGAAAGTATATTGAATTGTTGAATATTTCCATAATTATTTTACATTACATTAATGATGCTGTGGTTTTATTATTTTGTATTTTTTCTTTTATGTACTGTTACATACCCTTCCCAATAGGACTATTACATACCATTCCCAATAGGACTATCACATACCCTTCCCGATAGGACTATCACATACCCTTCCCGATAGGACTATCACATACCCTTCCCGATAGGACTTTACATACCCTTCCCGATAGGACTGTTACATACCCTTCCCAAAAGTGATCATGTTTTAGTGGTATTGCACTACCTATAAAATGACAAACATTATCAAAAGGTAGTTCTAGTACATTCTGTTCCACTTCAACTTTATATCAACGGTGAGTTAAAAATTGTTTTAACATAACTTTCTCAGTTATTTTATAATTGTTAGCTATTTTCTACCTTTATAAGCTCATTAAAACTTTGCAGTTAAAAAAGTACATTCTCTACACACATTTCTTTTAAAAATTAAATAATGATCCGTGTTTGATCCTGGAATGTAAAAAAGAGTATTCTAACATTTAGATCATCAGAGTGCAAATGACTTGTTGTCTCGTTTGATGTATCCTGAATAATAATATTTCTGTCATTCTTATTCATTCGTTCAGTCACATCTAGTGATTCTGTAAGAAAATTTACGCCAGATAGACACTGGAGGATTGTGACTGAATTATGAATCACTTAAAAATATATTAGAGCACATTTTTTTTATATTCTGAGTGTGATTCTGTACATTCCTTCTGCTTTCTATGTTCTTTATGAAATATATTTACATAAAAACTTCTTCTTAATAAGGAATGTTCTTCTTAATGAATTATTAAGTGTAAGCTAACTATAAAAATCAAAACTGAAATGTAACTTGTAACCCAACGAAGCCAATTTTGTGTAAACAAAACTTATAAGAAGTACATAACATCCTAAGTTGATACAGAAGAAGAAAGAAACCTCTAATGATTAGAATACATCAAGTCATTAATGATATTTTCAATCATAAACCCAATTCTCTCTCTCGCAGGGTTTGTCCAGGTCCTAAAAGTTTTAAAATTGTAAAAATTAATGAAGGTATCATTAATTACAGAACACGTAAAAAACATTTTATTTTTAGCTCTTTGTCTGGCTTTCTTTTTTTCTTATCTCCTGCTCTCTACAAGCTGAAGAGGTAACCTGGTAGCAACCGTAACGAGTAAAAGTTAACAATGAGAGAACATGTTCTTGTGAAGATTATAAAACCTTCCCTCAACAAAATGACAAATATATAGAAATTTGACAAGCCGTAGTGCTTCGGACAAAGAACTAAAGATGAAACTGTTGTACAAGTTTGATTTTCATATACAGTTATTCACCATTAACTGCAGATGACGGAAATATCCGTCAGTTTCACACATATATATATATATATAACAATAACTCTATGCGAATGACGAAAATTACCATTTTATTGTGATTGATGGCAACTCAGTTTTATCTGTGAGTCAGAAAACGGCAACTGAGCCGCTCCTGCCGCAGTTAATGGGTTAATAACCTCAAATACTTTGTATCTTTAAATAATGTTACTGCCACAACTAATTATCTATTGTTTTTCAGCAGACTGACTAGTTATTTATTTGTGAATCTCTTTTTTTTGTCGCTAAAACATGAATTTCAGTAAAGAAAAGATTATATAGAGCCAGGGGTGTCCTTGGGTCGACAACCGACAGAACCGGTTGTTAGATTTTAATTGGATCACCGAACCGTTTGTTGATTTTTAACAAATATTTAGCAATCAATAGAAATTTATCTTGAAATGGTACAAAAAAGACCTCGTTTTCCTCACTATTAACTATCGTACGTTCCATGAATTAGAGCATGTTTATATTGATGTTTCACATAATTTCGACCTTAATCAGAAGCGGTTTTTAAAACATTGCCAGCACACCCCCTGCATAGAGTTCTAATCTAAGTAGTAAATCCTTTTATTCAAACATTTAAAGTATTTCAGGCTATTAGTAATGAGTAAAGGTCTATGTGTCAAAACTGTAGAGATTGGTTACATTCCATTACTGTCCGAGGCCTTTTTTAATTATTTGCTTCCAAGAACTACTGATTTGCCACGATATCCATGTAACTAGTCTGCTTGTTTTCTCAGATGTTCAGCCATTGCCTCCATTTTAAGCTAATATATTATTTTGTGTAAAAGTCATAACACGGCCGTCCTGCGTGTAAGTTGTGTTTTATAACCTTTGAATTAATGATCATATATTTTACTTCTATCAAAAAGAAAGATCTCAAAGAAAGAAGTTGAACTACAGTAAGAAATACAAATTGTTTTTAGCACATGTAAATATAAAACAGTATTTTAGCAGCTTCTTTAAACTTACTTAGAACAAATGTAAAGATAACTGTAGTTGTGTAAGTAAGAATTTATTAAATGAATAAATTATGAACAAGAGTACGTTTGTGCTTCAAGCTGGAAGTTAAAAAATATCTTAAGACAAGCTGAATGTCTGTCAAATGACTGGAAATAATAATTAATTTTTCTTCTCAAAATTATATCTAAATAAATGTTTTATGAACATGTTTTATAAAAATAAATTAGAACCTAGTTACAATACATGTATGTAGAATGACTATCCTATTTCTAGTATTTCTCCTTTACATATTGCTTCATTATCATTTTGACTTCTGTATATTTTTAAGTTATGTTCAAATGTTCTTCTTGATAAATCCTTATAGATTAAAACATGCGAAAAAAAGTGATTCTCAAAGACATATTCCTACTTGGTCAACTGTATGACTCTGCAAATTATTAATTGTGATGGTAAAGGCATTGAATTTTATGAATTTCAGGGTCTTCTCTTTTTATTGTCTTCCTGGTTTTGGCTTCGTTATCCTGCTGAGATGAAGAAACTCTTTTATTTGTGAATTTTTCAAAATTGAAATATGCTACGGGCGAAACATCCAGGTTATAGAGTTGTAGCCGTGGGTTCCAGTGGGACAAATTTGGTGATGTTGCATCAATGTGTCTCCTTGACAACCGAGCTAACATAATGGGGAATTTCAACCAATGATCATGATTTTTGTGCACCAGCAATACCAAGTGTGAGGCACACGTATACCTGAATCGATTGTATTACTCATCACAGTCTCTACCAACGTACTCTCAAATCTAATTATATGCGTATAATAGCTCATTGTCCATTTCACATATAAATGTATATATATATAGCTGGAAGAATTTTAAAAAAACAAACTTGCTTGTCATGACAGGAAACACTGTCGTTTCGTGTAAGTTGCGTGTCAATCAATACTGCAACAACCGAGATATCGGCGTGACAGACAAACGGCTTTTCGTCTTTATATGGTATATTATAAAAGTTCTTAGTTATAATAGCTTAATTTTAAAATAAAATATTACAATCATAATTACAACTTGCACACATTTATTTGTTGATATAATAAGATAATTAATGCTTTAAAAGGGGGTGGGTCAAAGTGCACGTGTCACAATCTTTTTATATAGTTACATTCAAAATTTAAACAACTTTATTAGCAACAGCTTATACCAAATATTGTTATATTAGCTATGTTTTAGCTGTTAATTTGAAAAGGAGATACTTACATAGATTCTCATTCTTCATCTCCCCGAGTCATGTGACAGTCTCAACTCCAAATTCACATTTTAAGATTTTCTTTCTTCCCTTATGTCGACATCCACAAATTAGATACACAAGCTATAGATATTGGCAAACCGGTTATTTTCCACAATATCAATAAATTTATTACACCCACCACAGATGCTCCTCCCAGTAATTCTATTGTTTCCTTAAGCCTATTTATCAATGGTACATATTCATGACCAATAGAAATGCCACTTTGTGAACCATGTGATTCTCATAACCAATAGAAATGGCACTTTGTGAAACCATGTGATTTTCATAACCAATAGAAGTGCCAATTTGTGAACCACGTTATTTTCATAACCAATAGAAATGCCACTTTGTGAACCATGTGATTCACACAATATTCTGTTCTGTTTTTACAGTGAAAGCCAATATTTTTGCAAGTATATCTTGATGTATATAGACTGAAGTTGGTGTTCCGATTACTAATGGAATTGTTTAAACCTATTTATAGCTTAGTTAAAAAGCCAGATAGATTATAGAATTGAAACATTTTATTTTAGTGCTATAAATATATTTTTTTTTATGTTCTGAAATATATGTTTGAAAGCTACATGAATTTTTTGGACAACAAGCATAGTTAGAAAAATAGGCTTACAAAGCAAACACCCAATTGTAAACTGGCCGAGGTGAGTGCTAAATGACTTGTTTTTTAATTCAGATTTTTAGTGTTTTTTTTTTATTTTATTTTAACATAACTAAGTAAAACATAAAAATTAAAAGCTTCTTACATTGTAAAAAAGTTAAATGAAAAATTAAGTAAAATTTTCATGACCACTTTTCCACGAATGTAATTAGGCATCACACAATGTACACTGAAGCTATATTTACTGTAAATTAACTCTCTACACTCCCTCTGGGTGATATATTACTTTTCGTGTTAGTTATACAAGATTCAAATAGCAATAAAACAATAACATTAAATTAAAGTACTTGTGTCAAGTTAAGAGGCCTAAGGCGTTTTAAAGCAAATAATTCCAATCACCTCTTACAATCTGGAGTCATTTTTGGAAAGAAAGAAAAAATGTATTTCTTATTTCTCAACCTTTGCTATAGATGGTTTCATGACAGTTAGTTTTGGAGTGGAGAAAATAAGCGAGAATATAGGCTTGATGTTCATGTAGGAGATTTTAGAAGCTATGAAACTGTAAAAAAATTATTTTTTTCTCACATAAAAATTACATTTCAACTCAGACTGACTCAGTAAAGGCTTCATATGATCACAGACAAATCCCTAATAGAAATGCTTTATTAAAAAATTTAATGTTTACTACAAGCTTACCAAATTCTGTAAAATTATACATAGTACGTATAGTTTCTGGGTTAGATGATAGTCACGTGATTTGTAAAAATGACCAAGTCTGTACGCATAGAATTAAAGGGAAGTCTTAGGATAAAAAATGTGGTGATTAACTTGGTTAACAATATAATTGATAATATATGAGTGATAGTACAGAAAAATATATTACATGTCAACCACACTACGTCTGCTGTATCCAGTGCCGACAAGGCCTAATTGATTAATTAACATCGTGATCATATCGAGTAATGTTTTAGGATAAAAAATTTGGTGATTAACTTGGTTAATCAATATAATTGATAATATATGAGTGATAGTAAAGAAAAATATATTATATGTCAACCACACTACGTCTGCTGTATCTAGTGCCGACAAGGCCTAATTGATTAATTAACATCGTGATCATATCGAGTAATGTCGCAAAAATAATCAACTAATCAAGATTAGTATCTTCTATTATAAATATTTTTATTTATTCCAAGTCTCGTATGAGAATATTGATTAGTTGAAATAATCGATTAATAATTGATCACAAATCACCCAGTTCATTTGTTATCCACGTTTATTTGTAGTTTAATAACTTTGTGTTTTTCTAGGCAAGTACCTACAAGACTCACCTGAAGATAAAGCATCCTGGAATGAACGATGGGCTCATGTTCTCGTGTAAACAGTGCTCCTTCCGCACCCTTAAGAAAGATAACCTTGCCACTCACATCTCGTCAGACCATCCAAGATCCCCACCTAAAGCAACCATTGAGCAACTGAAGTCCATCGGCTTTTCAAAACTTTTACATTCCACATTGAATCAATCGCAGCCATCAAATATCACGGTGTTACCAAACACGAGCCAGTCCCTGTCTCTCGGTGAAGCAGTGGATATTGCCGTATCTCAGGGCTCCGATGGAACTGGTTCTACACCGTTATTTGTTTTCAAAGCCATTGAAGAATTCAATAAGAAAATTGTACAACAGTCAACTAGTTAACCTAGCTGTGTTTAAAACAACTGTGTTAAAATAACAGTTATAGAAGAATTCAATAAGAAAATTGTACAGCAGTCAACGAGTTAACCTAGCTGTGTTTAAAACAACTGTGTTAAAATAACAGTTATAGAAGAATTCAATAAGAAAATTGTACAGCAGTCAACTAGTTAACCTAGCTGTGTTTAAAACAACTGTGTTAAAATAACAGTTATAGAAGAATTCAATAAGAAAATTGTACAGCAGTCAACTAGTTAACCTAGCTGTGTTTAAAACAACTGTGTTAAAATAACAGTTAAAAGAAAACAAAGTTATAACAATCTTTCAAACAGATGCTCTTCATCGGGTATCTCACTAGAAAGGCATTTAACTCATTCTAGAAATCTATTATCATTGTGTAATGTAACAGTGAAACATGTCTTTTCTATGTAGCATGTCTGTTTTTTCCATTAAATGTCATTATTATATATAAAGAAACTGTTGTGTAACAGAAGGTTTTTTTTTTATTAGTAATTTCTTTTTTCCATTATCTAGCAGTCCAGTGAATAAGGTACCCTGAACTAAGACACTTTGTTTATAGATCGGTCTAAAGTATATTTACTACAAACTCAAACCAGGTTAAGCAATCATGATGATTAAAAAATAAATACTAGAGAGATTAACATTACTTTTGCACTAAAATTTCAAAACAGTATCCTAAAAATGGCAAGGGGACATTATTAGGTGTATATATAAAAAGTGCAAGTGATAAGGGAAATATAACCAATCTAAAAAGTTATCCAGAACAAAAATTCTGACACTTAGATTAATCAGAAGTTTGTAGGACAGTTAATACAATAAGGAATCTCTATTTGAAATAAGAAACTTTCTGTTCATCCACCACTGTTCATCTAAGCATTAATATATATATACAGCTTTATTAAAAATGTTTGTTATTTAGTTTACTGTAATATATACATATATATATTTAATGCTTTGTTTCACAGTTTTCAATAAACCAATGACTTTCCTTTGCTTTCTGGAAATGAACTTTTTTATCAGAAAGATTTCAAGTCACTCGCATGTTACTAGGTGACTCCTTTAAAGACTTGATAGTCACTCAGCTGTTTTTTTTATACATTTGAAGAGAGTATATGGAAGATACAGAATTATGTTGAAAACATGTTCACGACCATCCCAATCTTTATTGGTGTTACGCTTTTCAACCTATACAATTTTATTTATCATGGCATTCAAACTTTTTTAAAGAACAGGATAAATCTCTTGTGCTTAATACTTATAACCTTGAATAAAGACATGATACATTTTACTCAACTTAAGACCATACTCAAAATACTGTGTAACCCGGCACTACCACAAGGTTGCGATGTTGCACCTACCTAATCTCAATCAACTCCACTGTTAGATATGTCCAAAATTTTGTTTGTTGTCTTATTTTTTTTATCTTCAACCCAGTTGAACAGATGATATTTAACATTGCCCAAAACTGCTGTTCTCATATAGTCTGTATGGGACTGATGACCTAACTTTAGCAAATATGTTTTACGTAGATGTCCCCAATTTCTTTAAGCCTTTCTTTTAATCCCAAATTATATTTGAAATCTCCGATTGTGTTAGTTTCTTATGAAAAACAGCAAGACTTGTACATTAGGCCTTCAATGAAAACTATTATAACACTTCCATAGATTAAAAAGCAATTTTCTCTAACCAGAATAAAAAAAAACTTAAAAGGTGGATGAAATTTGGATAGAATCCGTAATGACTTTCTAGATTTGGAAATTTGATTGAAAATTTCTAATTTTTTGAAGCCCCTCTGTAGTTTATCTTTTCATCAAGAGTAAGGTAAAATCAAAATTAGCCGGGATATTCATAACAAGTCAAAGCTTAAATCTTGGGAATTTTGATTAAAAGAGTTTTAAATTGAAAAAGTGTAGTCGAATAACATGAAAAAGAAATTTTCGTGAATTTTTGAAAAACACTGAACCTTGATGAAATAATAATAATTTCTTTTAAACACGAATAAGTGCTTATTTTAATGCAAAATTAAATTTGAAATCTCAGTTTCTGTTTGTTTCTTAGAAAATCAAAAAAGACCGAAACATTGGCGCATTGAGGAAAAACAATATATCACTTTCATAGATTGAAAACAATTTTCTCTTGTCAAGAAAAAAAAAAAAGGAATAAACTACATGTGGAAATATGTCGTAATGACCTCTGGATTTGAGAATGTTAATTCGAAATTCTAGTTTTTCGAATCCATTCAGTTATTTGTCTCTTCGTCATATGTAAAATCGAAACTAGCCGGAATCTTAATGACAAATCAAACTTAAAATTTGAGAGATTTGATAAAAAGAGTTCCAATTTGAAAACTTATTACTTTGTATCAGTATTGGATTTATTTATTCAGGTGTATGCAAGGTTTTACGTAACATTTGTCAAGAGAGAGTTGTTAAATTTCTTTCACTATAGACACCTATTGTTCTGTATCACTCATATAAAGTAACCATTTGGTGTACTGGCATGCAATGCGTTTTCTAACTTCTTATTTTAATATAGAATGTTTATCTTTTTTTTTTCGTTTATTCTACACATATTGCGGTTTTTGCATAACGTGAGTAGTAGAGAATATGGGGTTCTGGATCATTAAGAGGAAAACAAATGCAAAATTTAAAATATATAAAAAAATAGCTCCAAAACACCAAAAATCATCGAAAAACATAAATAATTAGAAATCATTAAAACTCGTCTCGTTTGCCCTATGTAATTCCCCCCACCCCCACCCATCATCACCAGAGGTGGTCAAAATTTTATAAACCACTAAATTTATAAACGAGAAAAAGATTTCCTATTTCATTCATATCCTAAATATCTTTCTCATTTAATTTGCTAACAAATCGATAAGGTAAAAATATTTGTAATTCCTGAATTTAATACAGATACAGTTTTATTACCAAACCGAGTTTTAATTTTTATTTAGCTTTGAGACAGATTATTCAACACCACCATCAAATTCACTCAGCTTATGAGTTTCAATATTAAATTGACCAATAGGTTTACCTTTTTTCAGTTCTTCCATTTTATTACATACTTTTTATTAATATAATAAAAAGTATAATCCAGCTTATGGTTAAAAGTATCGAAGTTATAGTTACAGCCATGAAGATTACAATTTTATCACAATTCTGTGTTTAATTATTTTTTAGTTCTGATACATTGTGATCGCTTAGTGAATTTCTTGTTTGTTTGAAGTGAAGCACAAAGCTACTCAACGGGCTATCTGTGTACTCTGCTCACCACGGGTATCGAAACCAGGTTTCTAACACTGTAAATCCGCAGACATGCCGCTGTGCCATTGGGGGACGTTTTTGTTTTAAGGGGGTGGAAAAACTCTGACTCTCCCTCCCCCCACACAAAAACAACAAACACAGCTTTCCGTACTTTGGGACTTCATGTTTGCTATAAGGATGATAGTCAACTCCTCCAAGAAATTGTTATTTGATGTTATTTACTAGCTATTTTTCCAAGAGTCTATAAGTTAAGAATTAAGGACGACTAGCGCATATAAACCTTATGTAACTTTATGCGAATATCCAAAACAAGCTGAACCAGGTCCATTTGGTTTATAAAGTAATATCTGAACCAGTTCAGAAAAAAGTCCTATAACGGATATCATACTGAAAATTATATATTTGGAAAAAATATATATATTTTGCGTTTAAAATTATTTTACATTTCACTTAGAATATAATTATATTTGTTTGTTCTAGAGCAAAGCCACTTTGGGCTATTTGCTGTGCCCACCACAGGGAATTGAATTCCGTATTTTAGAGTTTTAAGTCTGTAGATTTACTGCTTTCCCATTGGGGACACAATATAATTATTATAATATCTAACTATAGTTTTGAAAAATATAATTATTTACATATATATACTGTTATTTTCCTAGATGGCACTTAAGTAGCAGACCTATGGCGCTGGAAATTCAAATATAATAAATAGGACTGGAAATACGGTATTGTCCTACGATTGTTGAAAGATCTCTGATATTAATTATTAATAAATCATATAACTTCTTTTATATAGAAGATGACCATGATTAATTTTCTAACTTTGGGCAAGATATTAGGTATATAACTTTTATATTCTAGGTTTACTCCTCGCGGCTTAAGAATACGAGTTAGACCAGTAGTAGTAAAACTGTTTAGATGTTTAACTAATAATAATCACTGACCCTCCCAGAGTATTAATGTCTCTTAAATTATATACATTTGAAAATGTTAGAGTCAAATCACGAGGAAGATAGGTGTCTATTCTAGAAACTTTTCAGGATGGATTTCTTCAACAATTGATTAGGAAACATATTACTCGGTACTAGTGACTGTACTAATAGTGAGTCCGGAGAATTATACTTTATTTTATTATTATGTAGTTTATACTGATTCCTATTATACTAATTACTATAGGTTCCGGCCACAGAAGTATGTGAATGCAAAATCACAGTTGCAAATATATAAATCTCCCATAAACAAAATATTAATTATTGTACACCAAACAAAAAATAAAAAACGTCTACAGTACTCGGACATGCTGAGTTTGTATGATTCATTTCAAGGCAAATGTACTCCCTCTAGTTATAACTCATCTTTTAAGAAATCGTGATGATCACTAAACCTTCTTCCCTAGTTTATTTCAGTCCAGGTGGTTCTAGCAGGTTTTTCATCCTTGGGAGTCTTGCCATTTCACTCTATCTTCTGTTCTTCATCCTCTCATTACCTTCTCCCATCCCCCCTTCTTGGAGGGTTGGCCATTGTGGATCTCTGAGGTGGCTTCTTTCTGGAGCTGCCCCTTGGCTCTAGTCCAGTAAAAGCACAATTTTTCCACCTTACACACCAGTGGACTCCCTGAAAAGTAGACCAGTAGGTCACAACCTTTCATCTTTGGCACCTGGAGAAGGCTTTGTCTTATCTTCTTTCCAAGAAGTGAATCCTGTTGAACAGGTTTTTGATCCCACTCAGGACAGAGGAAGGTAACCTTTTATAGGTCTAATACACTTGAACCAGTATATTGTTCAAAATGGAAAGTTTTCTCAACCTGAAATGGAAAAAGAATAAGGTTTTGATATATACAAAGTGGTCCAGGGGAGTACTTCACATGGAGGATGTATCACCCTCTTGGTCCAGGGGAGTGCTTCACATGGGGGATGTCTTTCTCCTGGTCCAGGAGAGTACTTCACATGGAGGATGTATCACCCTCTTGGTCCAAGGTAGTACTTCACATGGAGGATGTATCACCCTCTTGGTCCAGGGGAGTACTTCACATGGAGGATGTATCACCCTCTTGGCCCAGGGGAGTGCTTCACATGGAGGATGTGTCTTTCTCCTGGTCCAGGAGAGTACTTCACATGGAGGATGTATCATCCTCTTGGTCCAGGAGAGTACTTCACATGGAGGATGTATCACCCTCTTGGTCCAGAGGAGTACTTCACATGGAGGATGTATCACCCTCCTGGTCCAGGGTAGTACTTCACATGGAGGATGTGTCACCCTCCTGTTTGTGGAGGGTTATAGTCTAATGCTGATGACATCATAGACTGGTGTAGCATATGTTATTAAGTGTAGGGATGGGAGTGTTCGATATATATTCTTTACCTCCATTAATAAAATACAGAATAGTTGGTGTTTCTATTACAATATAGCCTAAGCTTATCACTGTCATCTTTGTTAAAAATTCTAATAGTAAACCCTAAAAGTATGTTTACATTTAAAATGTAAAAATAAAATTTCTAACTACCTTAAAGCTTGTACATGTAGAGACCATGACTATTATAAGCTCCTCTGTTTTCTATATATATACAGAAAACTTGATAACATCATACATCACTTTTTTACATCTTATTCATCACAAATATTAATCCACTGTGGCTAAAACATACAAGAAAATATTAGCAATTTATATAACAGAAAATATAAAGAAAGAGAGAGATTGTTCATAAGAATACCAACACATCAGAATGGTCCAGCACCTACACGTACATCTTCACACAGTAGAAACCCACCTTCAAAATTTATTGTCTCAAAGCGGTTTCATCATCATCAAACCTAAAAATACTGCTTTGATAGTTTGAGTGACTTATCCAACTTATCCACTACTACATCAATAAATCTAATTCAAAACAAAGTAAACTTGACTGCGATATACAATTTGAAAACATTTCCTTCGTGAACTGTGGTTTTTTTTTGCAAGCTGATTCTTTTTTTATTTATAAAATTTTAGATACAATGTTAAGGACAGAACCTGTTTATCACTAAAATATAATCTGTTCTTTAAAGTTCTTCTCTGTCTCTTTTTTTTTCTGATGCAGAAGAAACTAGGTATGTCTTTCTCGACTCTTGAGAGATTAAAGAAAGTTGCTCAAGAACTGTGTCAAACAAGTTTAGAAATGAGCGTAAACTCGGCACTCTCACAGAGAGCAGCTCATCCAGAACCTGACGTGCTGCTAACCTTGAACCGAAAGTTGGAGTGGACGCAGGAGAGGATCAACCAGTTGGATGTGTACGAGAGGAAAGGTGAGTTTGTTTAACTTTCAAACTTTAAACACCATTTACTGCAAAGGTAAGTTTATTTAACTTTCAAACTTTAAACACCATTTACTGCAAATGTAAGTTTATTTAACTTTCAAACTTTAAACACCATTTACTGCAAAGGTAAGTTTATTTAACTTTCAAACTTTAAATACCATTTACTGCAAAGGTAAGTTTATTTAACTTACAAACTTTAAATACCATTTACTGCAAAGGTAAGTTTATTTAACTTTCAAACTTTAAATACCATTTACTGCAATTGGGGCTCACATGTTGTTTCATAATAAGAAGTTTTTGTTTCCAGAGATTGTTTCATATTGAGAAGTTTTAAGTTTTTGTTTCCAGAGATTGTTTCATATTGAGAAGTTTTAAGTTTTTGTTTCCAGAGATTGTTTCATAATAAGAAGTTTTATGTTTTACAGTCTACAGCTTTCAGTGTCAAAAGTAATTAAAAGAATTGGGTAAGATTCACAGGAAACCTCAGCACTGATTAATGGAATTAATTAGTTATTTTTGTTCAGTCTTTTCTGTGTGATTCATGTTATTAATGAACAACAAAATTGTGGACCCACAAACCTTTCCACCCATGAAGAGTTTAGAAAAATTTGTTTAAAAAGCTGATGGCAGTCCATATGTACCCCATTGTTAATTTTAGGGTTAATGTTATAAATGTATACAGAGATCGAAATATTACATTCCTGCCTTCCCCGAGGAAATTAACTTTGCTTGAGGAATTTCATCTTTTTAGTTGACTTTCCCGATCAGAAATGTACGGTTCATCCGTATTCCTTTAGTTATGACCAATGAAAGTGAACGTATTGCACGGATTAAGTGTAGTTTTATTTCATTATTTCTATCCGCTGTATATATATGTACTTTAATTACTTTGACAATGTGTATCAGACGTTCGATCTTGAGGCTCACACTATGTTGTGCTCCTTATTTTGAGTTTGACTGTGTGATTGATCTCACTCCTCAAAAGTATGGATAAACTGATTTAACTTATGTGGGAATCACCGGTTTGACCTATTCATGCCCTGATCAAACCTCCACGACTTAGTATTTAAGTATTACTTCAGTTGAGTAGACTTCAATTATTTCTGAAAAATGTGTACATACTTATCTGGACAAGGTCATGTTTCCTTATGGGTGTTTGTATTGCAGGTACTTTTCGAGACCGAAGTTCATTTGTTTTTAATTTTTCTAGAGAATACCAGAATTTACTTGCTTATTATTTTAAATGTTCTTTATCATTTGTAGTATAGTCTTTCTTTAATTAAATAATACACTTAAGAACATAGAAGAATAACATGCACAAAGCAAACAATGTCTTATAACTATCATAATTTATATGTTTTTCTAACTGTGCGATAAGAGCCTTTAAGAATTTCGATAAGCTTGTCGATGTGAGAGAAATTTTCAAACTGACTATTCTCTGTACACAAAACAACATAATATATTACCTCATTTGATAGATTAAAACTCTGGCTTACTAATGGTTATAAATAATATAGTATTGCAGGTACTTATCTGGACTAAAGTCCATGTTTCTTATTGTGATTTGTAGTACTGGTACTTATCTGGACTAAAGTCCATGTTTCTTATTGTGATTTGTAGTACTGGTACTTATCTGGACTAAAGTCCATGTTTCTTATTGTGATTTGTAGTACTGGTACTTATCTGGACTAAAGTCCATGTTTCTTATTGTGATTTGTAGTACTGGTACTTATATGGACTGAAATCCATGTTTCTTATTGTGACTTGTAGTACTGGTACTTATCTGGACAAAATTCCATGTTTCTTATTGTGATTTGTAGTACTGATACTTATCTGGACTGAAATCCATGTTTCTTATTGTGATTTGTAGTACTGGTATTTATCTGGACTGAAGTCCATGTTTCTTATTGTGATTTGTAGTACTGGTACTTATCTGGACTAAATCCATGTTTCTTATTGTGATTTGTAGTACTTGTACTTATCTGGACTAAAGTCCAGGTTTCTTATTGTGATTTGTAGTACTGATACTTATCTGGACTAAAGTCCATGTTTCTTATTGTGATTTGTAGTACTGGTACTTATCTGGACTGAAATCCATGTTTCCTGTCATAGTTTTCATGCAGCTCAAGTTTGGAGTCTTGTAACAACTTTACAAAATGCTTTCAATACAGGAAAATTTATGTTATATTTTATCCTCCAGAATTATTTCAAATGTCTATTGTGTTAAAGATACGTCTGTTTCAGTGCTAGTTCTCTGTTGTTTGTTTTAGACAAAATAAGACAGAAAAGGACCTTCGTACATGCCAGCAAGGAATCCCTGGAGAACAGGTATGTTTGGTGTTTTGAAATTTATCGTGCACTTGTCTACTTTCGTTTAATTTATACACACAATGTAATTGTGTCATAAGTTTATGTAACGCAGGATTTACGGCAGTATTTGAATCGTTCCGGAATTATAAGTTAGGTTTTATTTTTCAACTGGGTCATATTATTTCACTATA